CCTCTGGCTGGCTGGCTGCAGAAAGTGCTCTATTCTGGGTTGGCTCTCCTTTCCCGTGGGCTTGCTTCCTCCTTAGGAGAAGAAAATGAGATCCCAGGTATATGTGCGTAGACCGTGGAGTTTGATCAAAGTGGGGGTGCTGCTGGATTAGCTTACTTTCTCGCTTGTTGTTTTGTGTGACTTTTTATTTTTTTTTCTAACAAGTCCGAACAAGACAAGACCTCCGGCACCAACCCCTTCTCCTCCCACTCCGCATCCTGTGTTGCAGCTGTCCCCCTTCTTCGCGTCGTTGGGAGCTAGGTGAAATGTAAGGTATTCTTTTTTTTCTTCTTACTAAAGAGGGCAAGTTGATGTTTAGGAGGCAGTAGGCTATCTACCCCCCTCCCCCAAGGAGAGACATACTGCCAGACACAGAGAGCGGCCTGTTTCTGTCCATGAGCTCCATGTGGTCTCCAGGGTATTTTATGGGCCGATGGCGGATGATGGGGTCCTTTGGTTGGAAAGAGTGCCGGGTGTGTGTGGAGTTAACAAAGTCTAGGAGATTTATACTTGCTGGTCGAGGTCGAGGGGGAGGGGATCTCACCGGGGACCAGCGCTATCCCCGAAGCCGGCACACCGGTTGCCGCCATCGGCATCCCAGGACAGAGAGTAGACAGAGAGTCCGTTTCCTGGGTTACCTTCATGGGAAACCGGCACTTCGGCTCCGAGCACCAAGATCGACGGAAATGGGTTTAGTGGGAGGTGGGGGGGAGGGAGTAAAGAATGGGACGATTTTTCGGGGAAGGGGGGCGGTCCCCCATCCATCAACTCCCCTATTCCTTCTCCCTTTAGAGAGGGAGCAGGAGAATCTACCTCCAGTCCTATGGTCTGACCAGCTGCACCGATAACACAATGATGAAAGGCTGGCCTGGGCCCCTGGTTGCTGGGTGGTGTGCTGCCGGCCTGGTTGGGTGGTCACGGTCTGGCGCGGTCTGCCGCGCGCCTGCACGGACGGATGCCGGTGCCTGGTGCTGGAGTAAACCCGAGCTTTCCTTTGCTGGTTCTCCTCCCCGAAGCCGTCCCCGCTCATCTGAGTGCGCTCTGATTCCCTCTCCTTCTTGGTTTGTTTGGCTGTGCTGTCCCTCTCAGCAGCTATGCCCTGCATGGCGGCCCGCATCCACCTGCCCTCTCAGGCCGACTCACTAGGCTTCGGCCGGTTCCCCCACCCCATCTGCAGCGGGGTTTCCGGCCCCCGTGGTGTTTAGGGGCTGTGAGGCTTGCTCCCTGACAGCCGGCCGAAAGGGCGCCCTGTTTGCGGTCGCTTTGCCTGCCCGACCATTGCAACAACTATAGAGCCTCATGAGCACGTTTCTGCATCTTCCTGGCCCCCCATGCCACCCTCCCGTTCCTGTTTCTGCTAATCTTTTCCTCCGGTTGCCTCCTGCAGCGCCACGATGCATATTATACCTTTAGGTCGGTTGTGGCCCTGCCCTTCACATGTACGACAGCTCTTGTCTAGACATTAGGAATAGTTTCTGAGTGCCACCCCCACGCTGCCTTCCCCTGGCGACAGTAGAGCTCCTGCGATTCTTCTCCCTTCGCTCGAAGCTAGAACCTGGGTTGTGACACCCTTGCGGCGAGAAAAGAAGAAACCCCAGGCAATCACACGGCCCTTCCACCGCACGATCCCTTGTCAGAGGAGGCTGGGCCAGAGAGCCCTCTTTTTGACTCATGTCCTCCCACCTCCAAGCGTTCCTCTCCGTCCGTGCTCGTTCTCGCGGCGGCGTGAACGGTCGAGGCCCTGGTTCCGAGTCAAGGGAGTGCTAGTATCCTTTTGCTACGACGGAAGAGAAGCGGCAAGGACGGCCGCGGCCGTTGTTCTGTTCCGGCGATGCTGTTAGGTTAGGTTGTGTTCTGTTGGGTCGTGTTGGGTTTGGTTAGATTTAGGTTTGGTTTGGTTAGGGTTAGGTCAGTTTAGGTTAGGTTAGGTGAGTTTAGGTTAGGTAGGCTAGGTTAGGCTAGGTTAGGTTAGGTTAGGTAAGGTAAGGTAAGGTAAGGTAAGGTAAGGTAAGGTAAAGTGTAGAGAAACATCAGAGACCCAGGAAGGTTGATTTTTGGAAAATATTGACCTTTGGGTATTAGTTCAGGTGTAAGGAAACAGTTGACATATAACATTTCTATTTTTTCGACCTTTAGAAAAATGAACAATGGTTTCTTTCTTTCTTTTTTATCTTCTTTTGCAACCTGCCTTAAACACGCTGCTTATATAATCGACCTACATGTAATATAACGATCTGATAGGAAAATAACACTCAAACAACTCACGAAAGCATACCGGTCCCTAATTCAAACCAGTTAATCTCCAACCCAAAATGGAGAATAATTTAGAAAAAAGAAAACTAGTGCTGATAAACTCTAAATAAAAACACTTATGTAGATAATATATATATATATATATATATATATATATATATATATATATATATATATATATATATAGTGTAAGAAATAATTTTACAAGTAAAAAAGAAAATAACACCAAAAGGGCACAGATCACGAAGAATGCCTGAACACCCACAAGGTCAGGCAGGAATAAACCGAGACAACACATTAAAGAAAAGTAAAATGTTCCTGAAACTATTATGGGCGAGACTGTAAAAGATCTTTCTCCCAGGAGGTATAGATCCTCAAACTGAGAGAAGAAAGCTAAATAATAACTCAGTTTAGAACATTGAATGGCACATTGAAGGTACAGATCCTTAAGCAGTGTCCCTTCTATGTGAAGTGATCTTTTTATACTCTCTGACACTTTTATTTCACAAAGTCCTGCTCTAGGACATTGTATGATAGAATGCACCCTGCAGATAGTAATTTAGGTGTCTCCTATACACAACCATAAAATAACACTTAACTTTGGGGAGACACAAATTCAGCAATCCTGGAGTGAGGCGAGGTAAATTCACAAAGCGAGGACACAATACTGAGAGCGGGATCACCGAAGTAAAGACCGAACCAAAAGTACCAAAAACCATGGGTACTTATACACGAAAGACCCCAGGCTATGCCCCAGGCATGGCGCGAAAAGATACTCAAAGTATCTAAACAAACCAAAGGATCCAAACAAACACGGAAAGAGAGAGGGAGAGAAAATCAGACAAACTAAGTGACGACATGCTTATATAAATCTTTATTATTTTCTAGGCGACTTCAACGCCATCCAAGTAATGAGCTTTGGTTTTAAATGCTTCCTATGATCATAAAAATAACCAAGACCACATTAACTATGTCTCTGGCGTCGATCACGGTTTATGATGGCGCACTGGCAGGTGAAGCACCAGCCTCGTGCGGGTGCGCAGAGGTACGCGCCCGCTCCTTGAAAAAAGCGGAGATCTTGATAGTCCAAGATCTTCAAGATGGGGATGGGGGGGGGGTCCAATGAGCCAATTACGAGTACTGCCTGTCTCGCCCATTCACCTTTTTCATCGATTTAAGAAAATATTTAACGTTATCCTAATTTGCTGTTAAAAATAACATCATCTATATTTATAGCACTAGTAAGAATACGTTTTTTTTTCCGCCAATTCACGGACAGGTGAAATCAGGACTAGAAGAGCCATCTATGGACAGAGATATTTCACAAAAATATAAAAAATGAGTACTGCATTCTCCCCATTTTTTGTTCATTTTCCCCGGCGGCAATGGGTTAAAAAATATAAATAATACAATGATATTGGTGTAGACAAAAAAAAAAAAAAAAAAAAAACTTTTAGTTGATAAAATAAACGAGTTGTATATTATTGTTATGCTGGTCTGTTTCTAAAGGTTATTGCTTTAAAAACGACACAAAAAGTAAAATCGTATTGTTATTCAATGAAATCGACATAGGTAATGAGAAATTCATGAAATGTCTGGGTACCATATAATATAACATTCTAATCATAAGAGTAAATCGCTAGTACTAAGTTAATAGTATTATGAACACCAATACTATCCCCGTTCAGTATACCGAACACGCCTACATGAACAGTCTAATTGATAGTAATGTAGCACCTGTTGTTGCAAAGTACTGGTTATGTGTTACCAGCAGCCTTATCAGATATCATCTCTATACAAATATAAGAATAGCAAAATAAAACAGATTTAGAAGAATACCATGAAACTGAAGCTAGTGCACGGTACTAAGATCC